CCCAACCTCAGCACTGTCCTTCCCCACCACCAGCCCAATTTTAGGCCATGTTTAATTGCTCAGACCCATTTCTCACTCCTGAGTCACACGTGCAGCCTTTCCTTGCTTTATGTCATTTACAACTGGAATGTGCACGGTCTGCTCTGGCACTTCAGTGCTGAGTGAGCCCCCAGAGCCCCCCCAGTGCTGAGTGAGCTCCCAGAGCCCCCCTCAGTGCTGAGTGAGCCCCCAAAGCCCCCCCAGTGCTGAGTGAGCCCCCAGAGCCCCCACAGTGCTGAGTGAGCCCCCACAGAGCCCCCCTGAGAACACCCAGGCCATTAACAAGGCTGTTACTGCTGCTCTGAGTACACTCATTTAACCCCAATTTTTCCATCACCAAGAGTCAAAAGGTGCTGAACACTCCAGTTTTGGGGATGCCACACACCACGTTTGCCCCCTCAGTGATGAGTGAGCCCCCAGAGCCCCCCTCAGTGCTGAGTGAGCCCCCAGAGACCCCCACAGGGCTGAGGGAGCCCCCAGAGCCCCCTCAGTGCTGAGTGAGCCCCCAGAGCCCCCCTGAGAACACCCAGGCCATTAACAAGGCTGTTACTGCTGCTCTGAGTACACTCATTTAACCCCAATTTTTCCATCACCAAGAGTCAAAAGGTGCTGAACACTCCAGTTTTGGGGATGCCACACACCACGTTTTCCTCTCTGCTCTTTAGCACCTTCTTGCCATGAGGACATTCCCAGAAAAATGTGTGTCCCTGATGCCCTCTGACAGTCAGGTTTGATTTTTGTCTCAATCCTCCCTTTGTGGCCTTGCTGCTCTTCAAAAGAGGAGCAGAAACGCCTCTGGGTTTGCATCACCCTGACTGCAGGAGTGCTGAAAGCACCCATAAATCAGCACTTCAAGGATTCCTGCCCAGCTCCAGCTCTGCTTTGGTGAGGCAGAGCTGGCCTGGGAAGCACCAGGAGCCAGTCACCATCCCCAGGAGCTCAGTGGAGATTCACTCTCTTCCTCAGTTATCTTCCACCTCAGCAAACCAGGATCTGAGCACAACTCCCATCCCTGCTTCTTCCACATTTCCTGGCTCAAAACTCTCCTTGAGAACAGAAATCAGCATCGCTGCTTAATGACCAATATTAGGAAATAAAACCCAAACCAGCCTGTTTAATGCAGGCAACGCATTCTGTCTGCATGGTTTGGTGTTTATTCCTGCAACGGGCAAACTCAAAATTCCAATCCATGCCTCAATACCTGAACTGCACCTTCTCTGCAACTCTTTTTAAGGGATGTGCCACGACAGATGCTTCAGCCCACAGCTTGGCAGGGCAGGGACAGTTCAAGAGGACAGTAACACCTTCAGGAGTGCCCAGGATGGGCAGACATTGTCCCTGGAAGGACCTGGAGCTCCTTTCCCAGCCCTGCTGTGCCACATCCCTGCCCCAGCCCCACAAAACCTTTCCCAGGTAAAACCACATCCATGCACACCCTCTAAGCAGCCTCCCAAAACCTTTCCCAGGTAAAACCACATCCATGCACACCCTCTAAGCAGCCTCCCAAAACCTTTCCCAGGTAAAACCACATCCATGTAAACCCTCTGAGCAGCCTCCCAAAACCTTTCCCAGGTAAAACCACATCCATGCACACCCTCTGAGCAGCCTCCCAAAACCTTTCCCAGGTAAAACCACATCCATGCACACCCTCTGAGCAGCCTCCCAAAACCTTTCCCAGGTAAAACCACATCCATGTAAACCCTCTGAGCAGCCTCCCAAAACCTTTCCCAGGTAAAACCACATCCATGCACACCCTCTGAGCAGAACTCTGCATTTTCCAAACCCGCAGCCCATACGGGGCCCATTTGTCTCCTAGAAGAAAACCCCTCCAAAAGCCCCCCAGAAATATCATCTGAGCCACAAACCACCCCTGCAGCAAGGGCCAGCTACCACTGGCAGGGGTTTCCTGACTTACTGGAACTAGAGCTCTGGCAAACACAGGTTATCCCTTGAGCTCTATCATTTCCCTGAAAAACACCTTGTGGAAAGGTAAACCAAGAGTGTTCCCGTTTCAGAGGGAGGCCTGGGGGCTCCTGTTGAGTGAAGGGTTTCCACAACCCGTGGATTTGGCAGGAAAGCAGCAGCGTGCCCTTGGCTCCCTGGGGAACACGCTGCCATTTCCACACAGACCCAGCCAGAGCCTCAGCCGTGTTCCCACCCTGACTCTGGAGCTCTGGAAGCTCTGGGGTCAGTCATGGCATTGCCAGGGATCCCCTCACAGGTAGGATGTGCAGGGTGACAAAAGGGAGACAAACCCCACAGTTCTGACCATTTATCCATGAAATGAAAAGCAAAAATGTACACATAACCCTGCACTGCCCTGCGTGGCTCCCCCAGCAATAACCCCAAAGCTGTGCTCAGGACAGTCCCCATGGCTCAGGAGTCTGCACTGCCACATCTCTGGGGCTTGCAGAGGCCACCCAGAGGGACACAGCCCCTGTAAGGTGACACACCTGCCTGGCATTGGTTTTCCTCAGGTTCTGGGTCACAGCAGGGCAGGGCTGAGCACACCAGCTGCCAGGGCTGCCAGCCCCGAGCAGGGACACCGAGCATCCCCAGCAGCACACAGAACCAAACATTTTCCTTTCTAATCATCACCAGCTAGGAAGCCAGGCTCAGGAAATCACTGCACTCTTTCTTCCAGATGGAGAAACAATCCCAAAACTCCTCTGTGAGGCAGCAAGTCCCGGAGTCTGACTGGGACATTGTCCTTTGTAAACAAACCAACTATTATTCCTTCGTCACAATGCTCCACACAAGATTAATTCAGATTTAAGAACTGCAATCCTGCTCCCCTCTCCACTGCCCACCACGCTCTCACTCCAGCTGAATTCACTCTTTTCCTGGGAGGAGAACTTTACTTTTTCCCAGTTATGCCAAAGGCTGTTCTGAGCCTTTGGGGCTGGGTTTTCACCTGAGGACATGAATGAAAAGATTCCCTCCAAGACAGCCACCCTCAATTCCCTGCTCCTCCCTGTCCTGGGTACCTTGGATGTGAGCAGCAACACCCCCAGACGTGGGAACAGCAGCTGCACCACCACAGAACTGCCCAGTTCCTTCAGCTTTTCTTTCTCACCCTTTAATGCACTGCACAAAGGGGAGAAGGGGATTCAAAGGAATTATAATCACAGATATTAGAGGCGAGGAAAGCTGCTTCCACACCTCCTTCCAGTCCCACGAGCCCCGTGTGCCAAGCTGCCTGGCACGGGGACAGCTTGGTGCCCCCCTGCCCCCAGAGCTCCTGGAGAGCCTCCTGGGAAAGGGGAGCAAGGAAAGGGGGGTGCCTGCAGCTGCCTGGCCTGGAAAGGATTGCCAGGAGCTGCTGGAAGGGCTCTGCTGCTGCTGCTCCTCACCCACTACATTCCACTGCAGGCAGGTAATGCTATTTTTGTTCCTCGAGCTGTACCTGTTCTACTTTTTAAATTCTCATCAGAGAGGGGGAAAAAAGGGGAGTTTTTTGGTGCATAATGATCCAAGCTCTGACGCCAGACAGGCCCAGCAACCCCCTGACTGAAAACAGTGTTGAGTAACTCAGTGAGAGCTTGACTAATTCATTCATCATAGGATTCTGACACTTAAAATACTATTTTAATGCTCCTGAGACAAACCCTGATTGTTCAGGGCTCTTTTGGGATGCTATACTTAAATCATGATTGGAAAAATAAGCCAAGCCAAGCTGTACCTGGAAACACAGAGCTGTGTCACACGTTCAGGGAACATCCCGGGGTGTTTTCCTCTCTTCCCAGTCCCAGCCAGCTAATCTCCTTTCTGCATTACACAACAGCTCGTGTAATCCCAAATTTACCACCCTAGTCCTGCCCTCACAGCTCTGGTTTCACAGAGAGGGAGCTCAAGCCTCATCTCTGCCTCTTGAATGAAAAGAAACTTGGTTTGCCTTTCAACAACCCGGAACAACACGTGGATGCTGCATTCAGGAAATTCTGGCACCAAGGCCAAAATCTTTCCGGAGTTCTTTCCCCGGGATTCTCCCAAACACAGCCCCACAACTGCCTCAGCATTGCAAAAGCTCCTCGCTCGTTGGATTAAAGATAACGTAAAGATGTTCATTCTGACTCACACGAGGAAGTCGAGTCCTAAATTTTGACCAAATCCCAAAGTTCATGTTTCAGGGGGCTGATAACTGCAGCGAGCACAGCGCCAGGTCCCAGAGGCCCAGGGCAGCAAAGCTCTCTGGTTCTGGAGGGGTCAGCGAGCCTGCACAAACCCACGGAGTATTCCACTGTCTATCCCACTGTTCCCTTTACACATCCCATCCCTGGAATCCTTTCCCAAAAACCCAGAGCAGCACAGCTGTCTGGTTCTGGAGGGCTCAGGGAACCTGCACAAACCCACGGAGTATTTCACTGCCAGTCCCACTGTTCCCTTTACACACCCCGTCCCTGGAATCCTTTCCCTGCACAAACCGGCAGCACACCTGTCTGGTTCTGAAGGGCTCAGGGAACCTGCACAAACCCACGGAGGATTTCACTCCAGTCCCTTTACACATCCCATCCCTGGAATCCTTTCCCTAAAACCCAGGGCAGCACACCTGTCTGGTTCTGAAGGGCTCAGGGAACCTGCACAAACCCACGGAGGATTTCACTCCAGTCCCTTTACACATCCCATCCCTGGAATCCTTTCCCTAAAACCCAGGGCAGCACACCTGTCTGGTTCTGAAGGGCTCAGGGAACCTGCACAAACCCACGGAGGATTTCACTCCAGTCCCTTTACACATCCCATCCCTGGAATCCTTTCCCAAAAACCCAGGGCAGCAAAGCTCTCTGGTTCTGGAGGGCTCAGGGAACTTGCACAAACCCACGGAGTATTCCACTCCAGTGCCGCCGGGCCCCGACCGCGCGCGCGCAGCGCCGCACGCCGGCCACACCCCCCGCCGTCAGCGTGACCACGCCCACACCCATCCGACCACGCCCTCACGAGAGCGGTTAGCACCCAATATAGGCTTTATTTGCATGGCCACGCCCACACGGCGCGATAGACGCCTTTATTTGCATAATCACGCCCCGGACCACACCCCCTCCTTTGGCCAGCCACGCCCCCGGAAGCGGCGCGGAGGCGGCGGGAGCACGTGGAGCGGGACCGGGCACCGGCCGCGCTGGGGCTCGGGGGAGAGCGGAGCCGGCCCGTGCGCCCGGGCACGGCGGGAATGTGCCGGTCAGGCGCTGGCAGTCCCGAGTATCCCCGCAGGGACAGCAGGAGTTGATGGCGGGGATTGCGCATGAGGAGCCCTGCAGCACCGCGGGGCAGAGCACATCGGGAGCGCCTTGCACCGGGAGCCCTGGCTCGGTGCCGGGGGCAGAGGTGACTCTGATTCCCGGGAACAGAAGTGGGCCAGGCACTGGGCACGAGAAGGGCAAGCAGCGCCCGAGGCCGAGGGATGTTTCTTCCCTTCTCCCCAGCAATGCCCCCGCTGTCCTGCCAGCAGTGCCTGCTCCTTCACCTCCGGGGAAGCGCCTTTGCAGGGCCCTTCCTGCAGCTGCCGACTCTGACACTTGGCGAGAGTCCTGCTGCCTGCAGTTTTCCCGATGTAACACATCCCCTCTCCCGGGGACCCGCACCCCTGTCCCACAGCCGCAGCCCTGGGGGGACCATCCCTGCTGCAGCTCGCTCCGAGCCCAAGGGAACGGAGAGCCGAGCCCTCGGGCCAAGCCCCAGCCGAGTTCCCGGCGTTGCCCAAGCTCCGGCTGGCACACAGACACGGCCGTGGCCGCGGCCCTGAGCACGCAGCTGCTGGCTGACCCCGGGCGAGGCCGTCCCGTCCCGCCACCGATGGCACCATTCCTGACATCCACTCTGCGGCCGCCCTCCCGCGGCGTCAGCTCCAGGGCGAGGCCCGGGCTGCAGCACGGCCACGCCGCTGGCCTTGGCCCTGCACAGCTGCTCCGTGGTGTCCTGGTGGCCAAGGAGTGCTGGGAGTGCTGGGCTTGGGCTGTGGCTCAGCAGCCCCCAGGTCTCATGGCCCTGTCCAAGCACCACTGCACCGTGCTCATCCCAAAGGGCCGGGATCCTGGGAACACGCCCTGCAGGGGGACATGGAGGGTCAGGCCGAGGCTCCTCAGCCCATTTCTGGGGTACAGGCACTGCTTAAGGGCAGGAAGAAGCAGGCAGAAGGCAGCAGTGATGTCACACAGCAGTGATGTCACACAGCAGTGATGTCACACAGCAGTGATGTCACACAGCAGTGATGTCACACAGCAGTGATGTCACACAGCAGTGATGTCACACAGCCGTTCCCTGCTCACTCCGGGCCTCAGCCGCCCCCAGACTTGCTGCAGCTCCGGCGGTGCCCGGGCAGGTGACGACCCGCGGGACGGGCGGCACCGGGCCCACCCCGGGGCGCAGGGCCGGGGTCCGCGTGGCACGCGCGGAGCCGCGGAGCGAAGCAGGCCGCGCTCGCCCCGCTCCCCACCGGTGCACCCGGGCACGGGGGGCAGGCTCGGGGCCCGCCAGGGCACACCGAGCAGGGCAGGGTGCTGGGGGGTTATTTCCAGAGCCGATCGCGGTACCCCCCGCCCGCCCCGCTCCCTCCTCACCTCACCGGGAAGCGGCTCCTTCCTCACCTCCGCCCTTTGACCTCCCAGCAGCCGCGGCTCACGCGCTCCGTGCTTGGCGGGTTTTCCCGGCCTTTCCTTTTTTTTACCGCGGGATGCCGCGGGGTCTCTTAGCTCTGAACCCGCGTTAATCCCGAGCTTTTCCGCCCGTTCCCGGCCCGCTCTCTCCCACCCCCTCCCGCCCTCCCCCCGCTGCCGCCGGGCCCGTCACACAACGAACCTGCCGGTTTCAAGAGGGAGGCAGAGCCTGGGAGCCAGGCTTTGGGATCTCTCCAAGGATAATCATACAGACATCACCCCCATCACTCAGCATTCTGTGCCTGGCACAGATGCACTTCGGGCTGCTGCAGTGCCAGCAGCTCCTGGCCCTCCCCTCCTCCCTCTGCAGACTGTGACAGTGCATTGACCCCGGGCACTGCCAGCACACGGGGACAGCAGCGGTGGCACTGAGCACTGCCACTTCCACAGCCAGACCTGGGGACACCAGGGACCGGTGACCCTGTAGCACACACATGGCCTGACTCCCCTCCCTCCTCGTGGCTTTGCCACAATCCCTGGAGCCTGCCTGGCTTCCCTGGGCTGCCACTGAGCAGCAGCCACAGCCCCGAGCTTGCCAGGGCTCCCAAAACTCTAAGGCAAAGGCACGTTCCCAAAGCAGCATGGGATGGGTCACCGAGTCTGTGTGGAAAACCAGGAATGTGTCCCACTGCCAGAGCTGCTATCCCAGCTCTGGAGCTGCAAGGACCTGGAAGATTGCTCTGGACTCTCACACGTGTGTGGGACGTTTTTATCTCCCAGGATAAATGGGATACCCCAGCAGGAGCAGCTACCAGGAGACCTCCAGGCCTGAGCTGTGCTCCCAGCCATGGGAAAGGCCCCGTCCTCATCCAGGCTTGGGAGATGCCCATTCCTGTTCCCTGCCAAGGAGCAGGTGGGGAGCAGTTCCCACCCAGAGATCTGGGCTTACTTAATCACTGTACCCTTACCTCACTGCAATTACGGATTATTAATAAAAATCCTGCTTCACACAGGCAGGTCGTGTAACTGCTCACAGGGATTGGGATGAGGAAGCAGCGGCTGAGACAGGCTCCCAGAGGGGTTTATCCAACCACAAAGGCCAGGATGAGCTTGGGAAGCCGCAGGGGATAAAGCCCAGGGCTCAGCACAGCCAGGTGAGGGCTATCCACAGAGCTGTGCATTTGCCAACGGCACGGAAGCCGGGAGTTGGGCAAACCTCTGCCAGCCGGAGCTGGGAGCAAGGAGGGGATTGCGCCAGGCTCCCGGACCATCCCTGCCCCACCCGCTGTGTGTCATCTCCTCCTGTGCCAGCGGGAGGGAAGGGTGCCCCTCCGTGCAGTGCCGTGCCGTGCCCCACACCGGAAGAGGCGAGGCAAGGCACGCCCGGCCCGCAGGGCACCCCCTGCCTGTATTTACATGCTCCAAGGGCCATTCTTGCAAGTTCTCGCTCCCTTTCTTGGCCTGAGTGTGTTGGGAACGGGGTGGGAGGACCCAGGCGGGCTGATCCCACGTTGGCACCGCTTCCAGGTGTGGCTGAGCTTCCCTCCCGGGTCAGTTTGCCGCGCTGCTCCTCTCAGCTGAGAGGTGCTGGTGGTGCTCTTGCAGAGGCAGGGACTGACACTGCCAGGCTCTGCGCTGTCACAGTGTCACAGGACTGCAGCCGACAGCCCCGGTGCGAAAAAGGTGACGTTCCTGTCCTGGATCTTGTACTGGTAGACCCGGACCACATCCTGCTCCGCCGCCTGCCGCAAGGACAATCTCTCGATTATCTTAATCTGCAAAGGGAAAGGAAAAGGAACATTGTCCCTCTGGCTGCCCAGAGCAGCCTTGGCCCCAGTGCCTGTGGCTGCCCTGCAGGGAAGGGGGGGCACTGATAAATAATCCACCAGGAGCTGCCTGTCCCTGTGCCTTTGTGGCAGCCCCTGATGAGGGATCACACAAGTGTCAGCACCCTCGCAGCCCTGCAGAGATCACCACAGGCCAGGCTCAGATGCACCATTTGGGGAAAGTTCCAGCAAAGGTTTCCCTCACCCCGGGGTTGCAGCTGCTGTATAAACCCTGGAAAGCTTCCAGAGGTGGGGAGTCCCAGATGGCAGGATGTCCCTGAACAGCCCCGCAGAAGCAGTGACAGCTGGGTGCTCCAGCAGATCCTGGTGCCCACGGGATTAGTCCTTAACCACACTGCAGCCTGGGCTGTCTCCCACAATCCCTGTGTTGGAGGTGGCAGGGACACGCTCTGCTGTGCCTCACCTGCCCGTGAACATCCCTGCAGAAGCCAGTGGCCAGCCCCTCTGCCCACAGGATGAGGTCGCTGTGATGACACAGGGAGTTCACAAGCAGCTCATTCTCCTCATCTTCCGAATCGTCGTTGCTGTGAACCAGCACCACGATGTTCCCCTGGAACGGGAGCAGCAGGCAGGGATGAGCCCCTGGCTGGGCCTAATCCTTTAGGGGAAGGATGGGAGGGTGGCAACAGGAGTTTTCACAAACAGCCCATCTAAGCTCCAGCTTGGTCTGAATTCCGCCCCGGGGCCTGCAGTGCTGGAGGTGGCAGGGTTCTGCTGTGCCTCACCTGCCCGTGAACATCCCTGCAGAAGCCAGTGGCCAGCCCCTCTGCCCACAGGATGAGGTCGCTGTGATGACACAGGGTGTTCACAACCAGCTCATTCTCCTCATCTTCCGAATCGTCGTTGCTGTGAACCAGCACCACGATGTTCCCCTGGAACGGGAGCAGCAGGCAGGGATGAGCCCCTGGCTGGGCCTAATCCTTTAGGGGAAGGATGGGAGGGTGGCAACAGGAGTTTTCACAAACAGCCCATCTAAGCTCCAGCTTGGTCTGAATTCCGCTGGGAAAATAACCAGCAGCTGCTAATGGAGAGGCTGGACATGGCCCAGCCAGAATCCCCCCTGTGGGCAGCAGGGATGGGGGCTTCTGCCCCTCTGCCCCACCCAGGTGAGACCCCCCTGCAGAGCTGCCTCCAGCTCTGGGCACAAACCAGAGGTGTCCCTGCCCACAGCACACATGATCTTTACGGTGCCTTCCAACACAGGCCATTCTGTGACACACAAACACTGAAGAGCTCACTGTACACTATGTACACACACATATATATGTAAGGTGCAATCTAAAAATACCTCCAGCCTCTGTGAGGAGACAGTGGCTCAACCAGTCTGTCAGGCTGGGCAGATGGCACTGACTGAATTCAGAGCAGGTAAATAAAGAGGTGGCCAAAGGGCTGCAGCAGTGCTCACACCCTCACAGCTCTGACAGGGAGCAAACACCTCCCCAACACAGCGACTCTATTAACATCCATCTCAAGAGACTCTGCCTCAGCCCATGCGAGTCACCAGTGACTGAAAATAACATGAATTCTCAATCAATTAAAATGTACTTTAAGGCTTCAGAACACCTCAGACAGAAATAGCAAAGTGTTAGCGTGGTTTATCAGCTTTTTTAGCTCTTTGGAGGTAAAAATTCTCTGCAAGCAGATCATCCCCTGTCAGCACATACAGCCCAACACCCCATGCCGTGTGAGGTGCAGGGTGACAGCACCCAACACCACTGGCTCATTCCTCACTCCTGCAGGGAAGTGCCCAGGGAGGGGACACTGCCTGTGGTGGCAGAGCTTGGATGTGACTGTGAGCACTTCTGGCTGTGGTTCTCTCAGGAGTCCCCACATCGCTGGGAGATCTCTGTAGATCACCACCCCACCTCGGGGACCAGCCACACTGGAGGGTGGTGGGAGTAGGGGCTGGTGTGCCCCCGAAGGGGCCCTTCATTTCTGTCCCCTGTGAGACTCACCAGCCCCTCACATGACCCGTTTCCACACAGGGGTGTGAGCCAGGAGCTCCAAAAACCACCATTTTACACCTCAAATCCCTGTTCATACATCAGAGACACACAGAACCCTTCTCTGGGCAGCATGTCCCAGGAATCCAGCTGAACAGGAGCCTGAACAGGTACTCAGGGACCCACACAACCCCCAAGAGTGGCCCCAGAGCAATGATCTGAACTCCTTGGACAGCCACAGCCTTTCCAAAACCTCAGCATGGTGATACAGAAAGAGCAAAGGAAGGCAGGCTCTGCTCTGGAGGCTCTGTGCACAGGCAGGGCCCAGGGGGAGCAGTACCTTCAGCTGGCAGCACAGCCACACACGGCAGTAGTGGATGAAGTCCAGCACGGCCACCGGGGCAGCCCCCAGGCTCAGCAGGACACTGAGGTCATCCACCAGCAGCACGGGGCCTTTCCAGGAATCGCCGCCAGCGGCACTCAGGGACACCCGGACAAAGTCAAACAAGGCCCGCAGCTCACGGGCGCTCCCGCTGGAAGACACGAACGAGGCGTCAGGGCCTTGGCACCGCGCGTTCCCCTCCTCACCCACTGCCCCAGAGCGGGCATCACCAGCCTGTGCCCTCCCTGCCGGCCCCACTGCTGTGACAGCCACCTCCTCACTGCCCTTCAGCCCTGCTCCTTTATGCCTGCGTGCGGTGAAACCCTCCTGCCCTGCTCCAGGCATCGTGGGATGGTTTGGGTGGGAAGGAAACTCAAAGGCCACCTCTCTGCCATGGCACGGACACCTTCCGCTATCCCAGGCTGCTCCAAGCCCAGTCCAATATGGCTGGACACTGCTGGGGAAGTGTTTGGCCTTTGCTGAGCTTCCCAGGGAACATGGAGAAAATGACATGAGAATAAATCCAAAAGCCAGCGTGGATAAAGCAGCACTGCTCTCTGGGATAAGAATAAAACTCAAATTCATGAAAGAAGGGAATAAAACCACTTGGCTGGGGTTTCATTTGACACAAACCTGTGGAATGCTGAAGTAAATGTTGCTCTAGACCTGTGACATGCTTAGCAATAAGGATGGGGGTGGAAGTTCCCCTAAAATTCTGGAAAGAGGGACAGGATGCCCCCCTGAGCAGCAGTGAGGGACAGGCAGGACACTTAGGGGGATGTGCACAATGCTGGTGCTTCCCTTCACTTGGTGTCCAGCTGAGTCCTTGGCCCTGGAGGGGAGTGCAAAGGGCAGCAGGAGCCAGTCCTGGACCTCGGGTGGTGCCCTTGGTGGCAGCAGAGGTGAGGGGGAACACTCCATGCTCAGGCTCACCTCAGAAACTGCAGAGGACTGGGCTGTCCTGGCTGCTCCTTCTCCCCAAACAGGAGGTCCAGGCAGGACTTGAGGCCCTCCAGGAAGACAAGCTGTCCCCGCTCCTTGGCAGCTGCCAGACTGACTCCCTCGAGAGAGGAAAACATCAGGTTTCAGAGTGAGCACTTATGGAAAATGGTGCACACAGAGCCACGTGGGTCAACAGCCAAATTTTCATTCTTATTTGAATCAAATCTCATCTAAACGTGCTGATAAAGTCAGTGCTTCAGGGATGAAATGGGCACTTCTGTTACAGTCACCGGTGGCATATTCACTCTTCTGTACTTTGCCAGGAGATAACAAAAACACACTGTGATTTGGGGGCTCAAACATCCTGGAATTCCTTCTGGGAAGCCAGCTCGGTGTGCACATGCAGGGATAGAATGACCCAGGCTTTCTCCAAGAGCCTGCTTTGAGCAATTCCTTCACCTCCCTCCCTGGGAGGTGAAAGCTTTTGTTTTTCACTATCTCCAGATCATGGCTGTGGCAATGAGGGCTGAGCCTGGCACGGCCTGGATCCGGAGAGCGCCGTGGGCTTGGCATCCCCACACTTGCACAACACCTGGAGAGAACAGCCAGGGCTCCCACGGGAAGCTGCTCCACTTGGAGGAGGAGGAGGAGGACCACGACAAACGCCTGGGGCTGCCACTCACACTCAAACTCAGCTGGCTCACAGCCCTGCCTGG